TCATTTTCAGCCCGTGAGCCGCAGAGACGATTTCTCGACCGAAGATTGTCAAACCGATACGCCGATTGGCAGAGGCGAAGGCTTGCCTCCCGACTCCTGCCCTCGTCTGAGCCGGTGGGGCTGTCTCCGGCGTCTCGAGTCAAGCAAGAGTGGCTGCCATGGCGCCGGTCAGTGGTGTTCTTCTCGGGCGGGCCTTGTCCCCTCGGCGACAGGGATGGTGACCGAGAGAGCAAAGTGGAGGGCGGAGGCTGCGGACAGACGATGCCGGAGGGCAGCGGCGAGGCAGCTGGAAGGGCCGACTCGTGCGAGTAGAGCAATTGGCTCAAACTGGTCGGCAAGCCGTAGCCTTCGGTCTGGCCGGCTCGGGGTCGTCTGCCCAGGGTTGCGCATCTGCCCTCGGCGCCGGGAGGCAGCGGCCCGGACGGCGGGTTGGCGAACCCGATGACGGCCTTGCTGGGCCGCGGAGCGACGAAGAGCTGCGGACGATGCACCGCCAGAGGCAGCCCCGGAGACTGGGGGGACGCGGCCTGTCGAACGGTCGCGACGAGATGCGGAAGCTCGAGCTGCGACGCCGAAGTGAGGACGCCACAGCCGGCCGCTTGGCTCGTGTCGCCCGACGACTGGAGGGCCATGCTCTGCGGTCTAGTGAGGTGCGTCTGCTGGCGCTGTTGCTGTGGCTGGTAGGGACTGTCGCCAGGGCTCCGGACAGCCGGACACTCGGTCCAGGCGGCCTGGTTCGAGGTCTGGAGGGCGGAAGCGTCGCCTCTGCCCCGTGGAGGCGAGGCTGTCTGCAACGCCATGCTCAGGATCATCCCCGCCGGGGCCGCCGGCGGCGGGTCTGGGCAGCGGCTTGCGTGAGTGGCATCGTCGAGTCAACAGTTCGTCCGTCGGGCGGGTCTAGGAGCCCGGGAAGGCGTGTGATTGGGCCGAGACCAGATGCGGAGGGGTGCCGACCCCGAAGCCCGGTCACAAGATGGGTACTGTTCCGGGGCTCCGAGGAGGATGGAGCGAGCGCACACCGGCGAGTGGGTAGCGTAGAGTTAGGCGATTGAGTTAGGCGAGGAAATGATAGGAGTACAGCGGCACAACTGCAAATAAATCCGAATTCAGCTGGCAGCTCGGAGGGGATAGGTGGATCAAAGTTATGAGCCTATAAAACACGCGGCTAGGCTTTATTCCGGTTCACAGAGGTCCAGCAAAGCTGTAGCTATTCAGGCTCCATGATTGCAGTCCGAAGTGACTTTTGGTAAAGTACACTCAAAGGATGTGGGTAATACCGTCTGCCAACGAGGAGAGGCCTGGAGTCGTGTATTTATCCGACTGAAAGATAGGTGAGAGTAAAGAGATGTAGATAGAGATGGTGAGCAAATATGCCATTAAGACCAATGTATAAATGAAAGAGGGTATGTGTATGTTGATGGAATCGTGCAAGGGCGAGTGAACGGTAAACATGTCTGGGTAACCAGAGGCCTGGAGTCTATAGGTGAATTTGGTGAGGAGCCACAGACAGGCATTGATTGATCAAGTTCTGATCGTGAATACACACCAAATGCAAGTGTGCCGTGCACTGTATTGCGTGCGCACAACGCGCACACGTGCCGGAACGGAGAGAAAAGAAGGACCAACCAAGGCTGAAACGTAGAGCTGGTCAACGTATGGTGGCAACAGGAGCCGTGCTGGAGGCAGGCATACTACTTAGATTAGCATACTTAAATGGCACAACACAGACGGTTGAGCTCCTCGGTGGACGCTTGCTTTCTGGCCGTCTCTACTCAGGCGCCTTTACAGTCAGTCGCTGGATGAGGTGCCAACTACAGGCGAACAACAGCAACATCAACAAGAGTCATCTTGTGAGTCCTGGCCAACAGACAAGCGGCTGGAGGGAACATGTGCAGCCCGGGGTGAGTCTTTCTTAGGAGCATTAGTTAACTGTGCGTGGAGATGGCGGGAATTCGGAGTAAAGCGAGCTCCACATCACTGCATCAAAACAAGTCAAGCTTGGACACTGGTGGTCCAGACTGCAAGGTCAGCATTAGTCGGCTCTCCAATGTTCCAAAAGTGGCCAACTTGGAAGCGCACGTTTACGTCTTCGCCTCAAGGGCCCTTTCATTGGACTTGGACTTAGGAAGATTCGGGCATTTCGCGCTTGAGCATTCAACTAATGTACTTCAAGTACGCAGCGAAAGAGTTCCAGTTGGCCAACTAAAGAAGAGGAGTGCTGAATTTATATGAAAATTAGGTGAGGATTAAGCGGAAGGAATGCCAAGACAACAAGGTACGCTGAAAAATTGACTGCACAAGTCTAGCTCCGCGTTATCTGCTAACGCATCATTCCAGGAAGACGAGTATGGCACTGATGGGGGAACATAAACTCTCGGGTTTGACCGGAATTGTTGATTTATTTGATAAACTGTGCGAATGATATGGAAACCCGACCGAAAGACATGGTGTATATCAGATTCACGACAGGATGCAAAGAAGACACTGTGAACGTGAGCAATACCAAGTTACAATCAATCAAAATGTGAATTTCATGGAGGACATTGAGAAGACATCAACAAGCCGATTGAGCTTTGGCCCGAAACACCGGCATCATCACTGAATTATGGTTTGCAATGTTATTCACAGCCAAATGTTTGGGTTACCTTGCATGAGCCATGATCTATCGTCCGGGATGAAAGAGAAATAAATACACCTTTACGCATCATCACTACCATCGCTGGCTAAACACGAATTCAGACTGTATGCCTGCAGGCATAGATATCAACTAGAAACATGCACAGATGAGCTATTATCCAATATCTGTAAGGAAGACATTAGCATGTCAATGATAAAGACGTGCACACACACACAAACATTTAAACCAAGTGGTTGGAGCAAGTTAATAGAATAAGCAACTTCTTTGACTCACAGATTCATGCAATCCTAGTCGACGACTGATATCGACAAGCAATATGATCGAATCATGCGAGAAATGTGGCTTTACCTGCAGCCGAACTGCTTCGAAATGGTGTCGTTCTTCAAGGGTCACAGGACTTGGTGTTTCACAAAGCTTGGTAAAGTGGCCTAACCGCAACCCGAAGGAAGGCGTGGATTCACAGCAGAGCTGAACGCGGATTCCCCTGGGGGGCAAAACAATGAGCCGAGGAGTCCTTGGCACAAACTACAATCTCAACTGCAATGCGATTCTAAACCGGTTCTTGCATCGAAACGAAAATTCCAGTAACATTGAACAATTAAGCACAACTTTTCTTCATATATTTTCCAATGATGCTTGTCGCACCGTTTCACCAGAGAAGGACAACGTTCTGATTAGAGCACTGCCATTACTCAAGGACGAAATTCGACTTGAACTGGCAAGCTGGCCACCGACTCCCAGTTTCTAATGGCACAGATAGACAAATGTGTTAGTGGAGAACTTTAAATGTGAGCATCATAGGGGGCCTTACAAAAACAGGCTTTTTCGTTTGCACTTGTTCAAAATAGATTATACTATTGTGTACGTGTGCTCTGATCACCACAAATGTCTTGGAAACGGCCTGGTGGTAAAGATAGGAAAATATTGCAGTTTAAATGGAGTCTAGTTAAACAAGAACCCTTATTTGACACCAATGTCCGTAAGCTAGCGTGTCGTGAAGCACAGAAATTGTGCTTAGACAAGCTTACTGTTTACAAAGCGTAACATATAAGACCTAGTTCAAAAATCAGGCAGGTTCTATATTCACCTCGGTCTAGAG